GCGTTTACAGGCAACAAATAAACGTAGTTATAATATATAACGGTGATTGTAAGTGGTGAAGACTACGAGGGATATCTTTACATATTATTAGCAGGTGTAAAGTATGTATGTACAAATTATGCACATGCAATGGTATCTCCTATACATGTAATGTTAATCATATTTGTGTTTTTTTTAGATATATTACATATTTATGGATGCAAACATACAGTTCTTCACTGAGGAAGAAAATGTTCTTTTAAAACATCGTTCATGTTCATTAATTACAATTTAGATTGTTTTGTGGATAAAAGATGGTAATGACTTTGTTAACAAAGTGGTTACAAGTAACAAAAACTTATATGTAGCTAACTGGGTATAATTAGTGATCACTTTTGGAGTGAATTGTAATTGAAAGTGATGTTAAAGACAGTTTTACCATACAGAACTAAGCACTGAAACTGAACGAAATGTTTCCGACATCACAATATATTTCACTAAACAGTATCCAGTATTCACCCTGCTTCCGAACGCAATGTCGTGAAACAGTAAAAACTGTTTGACCATAAGCATTCACATTGTATCTGGACGCACTGTTTCAGGTTGTAAAACTGTTTCACCATACACCTCCAAGTGGTGACTGAAACATTCCGAGCCTAACTAGGATGGACTGCGTTGATGGAAGTGGTTGCGAATTATTTTTAAAAATAACCGCCACACGTCTGCCAACGATGCTGGAGTGTCTGGATCTCGCTAGAGTAGGACTTTTCTCGAGTTTAAATGACACAGAAAGGACGTCATCATTATTTTCATAATGCTAACTAGACTGTTCTTTCCTCAAGGTTGAGCTGAGGCGGAAATCTGTCAGTGTCATATCTGGTGAATACAGAGGCTGTTCAATTAGTTCAGAACGCCGCCATGGTCTTGTGGTAGAGCGTCCGCCCAGAAAGAGCGGAAGGTCCGGGGTTCGATCTCTGGCCGCGTCATACCAAAAACGTTAAAGATGGTACTTGTTAGGAAGAGACTATATGTATGTCAACGTCTTAATTATAAGGAAGACAGCGTTTCTGAGTATATGCTTACTCCTTCACCAGGGGATGATGAGGCAGAGAGCATATATATGTCAATGTAAGGTCAACAAAATTAATATTTATTTTAAGATAACGAAAGGTGGAAAATAACAAAGGGTAGAAGCTAACAAAGGAAGCCAACAGATGACTGGCGCTGATAGGTTATAAGCAATAGACACTGGAAGCCAACACTTAAGTTATCATAGCTAAGTAATTGGTAATGGACACTGGGCAAGCGGGGAGGGGGGTAATTAGCACTGATACGTGATGAAAGAATGGACATAGCAAGGGGAAAATAGAAGCCAGCTAGTCAATTAGCCCCGACAAAGTACAAAGCAATAAGTCCCAAGCACTAGGCAGTTGGTTCCCTGTCACAGTTCATGGCTGGCTGGTGGCTCCTGATGTCAGAAGCTTCTTGTAGTTTCCTTTGTCGCCAGTTGATGTTAGTAGACAGGACTTTGGTGGCTTCCCACATGATGTAATGGTTTTCTTTGGTTCTGCGGGATTTGTTCGGAAATAGCGGATTTATAAAATCGGCATTTATAATTAGTCCGGACTAGTATAAGCAGCCACACACCCACACACCCACACACCCACCCACACACACACACACACACACACACACACACACACACACACACACACACACACACACACACGTCGCTATAAAAGTACAATAATTTTGAACGCGACGTTAAACCCTATTTCACCTCCCCCCTTAGTTTTTAGTAACCCCTAGTAATTCTCGAACGTCCAGACCAGTTCGTATTATCCGAAATCAGGTATGTCTCAAATATCAGTGCTGCGCATTTACAATGAGTTTGTAACAGCCGATGCTGATCCGTGTGATGTACACAATGCTCCATACATACAATCCATGTTCGTCCCATCCATCATCTGGATAACTGTGATCACACTACGTATACAAAATCGCAAATGGGCATACGCCGATATACCTACCAGCTTAGTAGCTAACATGCTGGGCATGCTGTGTAACCTGGACGATCGATGGCGCTCTTCAAAGGAAGCTAAAAGGATAGTCTATCATAAGTAACACGATGCCCGCTTATTTCGGGCATGGATTTCCGTACAGTTCCTTCCGCGCTAATAATATGGCTTCATTAATATAACATGATGGAATATGTTTTGTGTAAAAGTGATTAGAAGAAGACAATCATGACAGTAATGTAGTCTTAACATGGTCTTTACTGCATCATGGCCTTAACATTGCGGTGAACAATCAGTCTCGATTATTCGACGAAACAGATTGCATTGGGCAAAAACAGCGGAGACAAGTATATGCATTTAGCACTGAAATCAGCGAAGACACCAAGTGTTTGCAGAAAGCTCTAAACGTGACCACTTTCAGACTAAAAGAACCTTTATGTACTGATTTCACTGTCGTTGGAAGGGGTGGGGACTGACATCTAGAAAACGTATTGAAGTTGAGTTAATATATGTAACCCCATACGTCAAAACCAAATTGGGTCAGATATATATAGATATACCTAGGTCCTTCAACCGTAGCTATTCATTCACCTAACTGTCTACTTATGGAGCCGATGAGTCCAAGTAGAAACCTAGCGTGTAGAAACCAATAGCCGAGTATGATTTCTGGTAACTAATAAGGACGGTAATTCATTCAAGTTGTGCTTGGTCTATTACCAATCTGACTTTCAAAGGGAGAATATTTGGAAAGCATTTTGAACAAGTCAAGACAACAAGTCTACATTGTATGATGAAGCCACATCCAAAGACAACAAAACATATTGAATTATCACATGACGTCCGTAAGCAAGATGTGAGGTGAAATTGGGTTTAACGTCGCGTCCAAGTCCGTAAGCAAGACAGTTGTACACGATCATACGTGATCCTTTTATGGTAAGGCACACCTACAATATTTTTGCTGCCAGCTGTTCCGAACTAAAAAATATGGAGTTACGTGACAGTCTTTGAGTTTATGCAAAATAATGTACGGCGGAGTATCCATCACGATAGAAGCTCATTGAAGCATAGTTATATGCCTACGGGCGAGGTGTGTTGACAATCAGTAGTGTTAAATCAATACGTTGCAGGCTTATGATCATTCACCACGACTGAATTGTGCAGCGAACGTGTCGAACAGATGTAACAGCTGTGTTGACGACTACCGTAACATATTGTTGAATGTTGATGTCGCTAGATTCAATGCTACATGGCGCCAACTAGACCCCATAGCAACTCTGTGTGACTCCTCGTCGTACTACTGGGCACACACCTTTCTCATGGTCAGGGACCCTTTCCACAAAGCGATCTTAGCGCTACGACTGTCGAAAGCCTATGTTAAAGTATGGGAGTTACGATCATCTTACCGTTAAGATCGCTTTGTGGAACAGGGCCCTGACTCATTGTCGCGAGACGATAGAGATGCGGCACATCAAGGAGCTAGAGAAGTTAGCTGCCGGACAAAACAAAGCATACACTTGAACACTGGATTTGGCCAAACACATTAAGCGTTATCAAAACGTCACTAGGATGACAACTGTCACCACAACACTTCAAGATCCAAAACACAACGATGTCATCCGTATAAAACACATCACCATCGAATAACCATTTCTTTTTTTTTTACATTTTTAGCCACAACCAAACATGAGTGTATAATTTAGTTTGCCCGGCAGTGTACTTTCCTTCAAATGTTCCGCTCGATTTGGATCCCAGGGCCCCGTTCCACAAAGCCATCTTAGCGCTAAGGTGATCGTAACTCCCATACTTTAACACTGGTTTACGATAGTCATAGCGCTAAGATCGCTTTGTGGAAATGGTCCTTGGTGCGCTAGATGTTTTTCTGTCAGCACCGTACCCGTGTCCATAAAGGATGTAAACACAAAGGGAGGTATTGTAATCCGTCATTAATGCACAGAGAATGAGTGAGTGAGTGAGTGAGCGAGTTGGTTTTAACGCCGCTTTAACAGTTTTCCAGCTATATCAAGGCGTGTCAGCTTAATGTGGGAGGAAAGCCCGAAGTGATGCCCACGAGCACGGGTACGGTGCTGACAAACCTAGAAACATAATCGGGGCGAACCGGGATTCGAACCCACAATCATAGGTTTCTGGCGTGCCCAAGGGACGCAACTCTGCACAGCGAATCGCGGCGCCTTAGGCGACTGGGCCACCCGTGCCCCCCCCACAGAGAATGAAAATGCGCACTGATCCACTGAACGGGTAAATAATAAGATAGCGCTTTGAGCATGTCCTTGAGTGGTGTGGAAATATTGCGTAATATATATGGCATTATTGATGTTGGCGGTTGTGGTAGTGGTGTTGTTGTTGTTGTTGGGTTACGTTTACTTCTGTTTTGTCGGTAAGATCATGTGTATAACCTTAAACCACATAATCTCGATGATCGGGTTCCTATCGCCACAGTAACCTCAGCTTAAAATTTTTGTTTGTTTGCTTGTTGTTTAACGCCGCACTCAACAATAGTCCAGCTATATGACGGCGGTCTGTAAATAATCGTGTCTGGACCAGACAATCCAGTGACTGACATCATGAGCATCGATCCATGCAATTAGGATCGATGACATGCATCAACCAATCCATCGAGCCTGACCACCCGATCCCGTTAGTCGCCTCTTACGTCACGCATAGTCGCCATTTACAGCAAGCATGGGCTGCTGAATCAGCTTTAAGAATAATAGTTTTACGATGACACTAAATATTTGAGATCTTGACTATGTAACCATCAACAATTAGTTTTGAGAACGTTTATTATATATGTACTCAGTCCATGGCCAGGATATCGTTCTAAAAGCGAAGTTAATGTTACGTGTCTGTGTAAATTATGGACGTTACCACATTCATAATACTAAGACCGATTTGTGAAACGGGCCCCGAATTTACACACGATGAAATATGTTACGTGTGCATAAATATCGACCAGCTTTTAACAAGTCGTTAATACACTGTCCATTGTAGCAAGCTTTGATACTGTATGCACAGTGCATTTCATTCGGAGAAGTTAAGCAATGGCAGATGGTTGGGATGTTATACATAATACATATGTACAGATGCTCCTGTGAGTATCCGGGTGTCCTTCGTGATCTCACAATACTGTTTGAGGACGTTCGCTGTCCACAGTGAGTGCACTTGATCGCTTTGAGCAATGACGACGGACTCCTGCAAATCAGCCCCTTCTATAGAATATTGACCTAAGGTAACGTACATGTACGTGATAACTACTTCAGTATATCCTAATTATACGCTCAATACTGCCTTTAGAGATGTCCAATATCCATCGTCTCCTTGGGGATGTTCTTGATGAAGGCTCTTTGATTAGCTATAATCTGGAAATGTATACACGCTTTGTGATGGTTTCGCTGCTCAGCCGTGAACACCAACACGACCCATCTGTTTTTATTGAAAACTCTCACAACCTACGTCAATCTTGCCATGGATTCGCACGCGTTAGGTGGTCCGCTACCCTCCTCTCCTACAAACATAGTTCATGTGTTACGTGCATAAGTGTTTTAACAAACGTTTATTGGTTTCGTTTGCAGCTTGGTGGAGCCGACGTTCAAGTCATGAAGAATCTGAAAAGTACCGTTACGCCATGTGAAGTCATATGTTACTGAAAAACATCTTGACAGGTATCCATTTGAAATGTGTTTTCTGAGTGTTTTGTGGAAGGATTGGTTGTCTGGACCTGGCGCGGAGGAATACGCTGTCAGAGAGAAAGTTTCATACCCGCACCTTCCAACTTTAAACGGACAATAATCGATATCAAATAGTCAGTGCAGGAGGTGGTGGGCCTGCATATGGTAGTTCATTCCTTGGGAGCTTTGACGCTGAAAGCATTGCTGTGGAAAGGTATTGTTACCAGAGGCACACTACACAAGCAATAACTATGGATAACTGCACAGCTTGTGATGTGGAGGCATTTTGTCATAATATTTCACAAAGGACACCCGTTTCCGCGGAGGAAAAAGCCCTCATAATGTCGGACCCGAGATTTAACAGCTGTGTAGATTTTAAAATTCCTCATCGCGGGATTTCACTAGAAATGTGCATACCTTATGCTGTGATTTTTCTGTTGTCAGTCGTGGGAAACTCTTTAGTGGTGTTAACGCTTTTCCAACACAAGAAGATGAGGACCATTACCAATGTCTACTTGCTGAATTTAGCAATTAGTGATCTTCTCCTGGCGGTATTCTGCATGCCGTTCACGTTGGTACCGTTGCTGTTGCAGGATTTTGTGTTTGGAGCCGTTATGTGTGCTCTAATCAGATACCTCCAAGGTAAGTCTGGAACAATTTTTGTGTGTCTTATAAAAAAAACTTTAATATGCAAATGAATCGATTATTTTAAACTGCTTCATTTCAATAAATATGACATATGAAATCGCTGTTATGTGGGGAAGAAATGTTCGTAAAAAAAGTAACTTTTTGAAGATGGATGTAGAATTTCATCACTATTTATTGAAACATATTATTAGCCTGTTGAATAAAAACATGATATGTTCCAGATTAAATAACAGATGACAGTTGATATATGTTAGCTTAACCTATGGAAACAGCTAATGTGTTCTTCGATTTATTACTAATTCTGTACATGATTTCCAAGTGCGCATCCAGACGCCAATTTTGTGTATTAATTTCTATGTTATCAAAGACAAAGTTAACTATAAAAAAGATTTAAATACAAAATGCAGCAAAGAGCATTTGGGGTATCCTGGCACAGTCAGGATTGTTGGGCTCATCATCATTAGCTCAGGGCCCTTGTCCTCCAAACGCAGCCCAGGCAGCAAATGGGACTTCTACCAGGAAGCGTTGCCTAGTTGAACCCACCCAGAACTTTTCGGAAAATGTAAAGACTCCCCAACACTGTAGCCTTCTGCATTACCCAAATTAGCGGAAGGGCTGTAAAAACCTGGCTTAAACCCGGGTACTCTCCCAATGTCAGTCAACAGATTTGGAGGTACCAAACTTAAGGCACTGAGAACAATGGGGAGTCGGACAACTTGGTACATGGGATGCAAGCGGGACATTTCGAAAGCGAGGTCCCCATATTTGCCATGTTTTTCCTCAATCTTGCCAAGCACACTAGTGTCAAAAGGGCTCGAAAATTCAATAACATAAATGATTTCATTGGAGTTTTAAAAAAGAACAAGGTCAGGTTTGTTTGCCTGGATAGGCCTGAGGCTGTATACGGGACTATTCCAAAGAATTTTGTATTTAGCATTTTCTATGACGCTCTCTACATATTCAGTGTCATACCATGGATTGACGTCTGTGTCAAAACCACAAGTTTAAAATGATCGAGCCACGCCATCATTTTGTTGAAGATACTGTGTTGGTGCCAAAGCTGGGCGTCCACTGACAATGTCCTTCTCATTAAATTCATTGCATTATCAAAATTTCATATTTACATTTAGATGCAAAATCACACATTGACGGTTTCGAGTGGGAAGTGACTGGTCCTGTGAAGCAAACAGAAAGCCTTCTGTTTCACTTTTCAGACCAGTCTGGGGTTTCTGATCTTTTCAACACACTGCATATAAACTCGATGCAGTGATCGATCAGATAGCCTCTCCTTGAAAAATCTTGGCCGATTTCATTTGTAACTTCGCTTGGTTGACACTCATTTCTGTACCGTCCAGCAGTACATAACCATCAACGAAATCAACACTGACATTGAGATTATGTCCCACATACTTGGAACGTTTAAGAAATCTGTGGAATGCCGTGTTTTCATCATGAGTCTTGACATGTTTCACAAGAGGATCATCAGACAAATGAATGTGTGCAAAAGTGCACAATACAATTCTCCACCTTAATCAAACCGCGCCGTCCTATTATGATTGGCAAATATAAGTGATTGAGAGACGAGCGAGGGTGATGGGATCTATTGTCTGACATGATTCTTCGGGTGACGGTGTCAATACCTTACATTTCTTGTTTCGTCCAATCAACAACACCAGAAGAATATGAAAGGACGGGTACATCATAAGTATTTGTGGCTCTAACTTTATTGCAAGCGTTCATCTCTTAACTCCAGATTGTTTAAAGTCTACATTTGACTCTGCCCGAAGTTTTCCCTTGATATGGACATCCTGGAGTTTGTCCGTAAGCTGAATCCCTAAGTATAGGCCTGACCTTCCACGACATGGTCAATGACTCCTCCTTCACGTAAACTGACTGATCCTCCCTCTTCTACCTTGGCACGTTTCAGATGAAGAATGTTGCATTTGTCGCCAAAAGGACATGCCGATCTCACAAGAAAAGGATTCGACAAGGAGAATCTGTTAAATGTGGATCCTCCATTGGCAATAAGTTCAATGTCATCCACTTGAAGGAGGTGAGGGGTGTTGGGATCTGTGCTGAGGAGGTCCAGGATGATAACCTTCCTCATTGCTAAGCGAAAATCTTAAAGATTAAGTGACAAACAGAAAAGCAAAGGACTAAAAGAATCGCCCTGAAATATTCCTCTTTTAATAGAAATGGGTTCCGACGTCACCACCTGCCCCTGCGAATACATCTCAAGTTGAGTTGACCAGCAATCATTAAAGAGATTTGTAAAACAAGCTTCAGTTGTCGCTTGGGGAGGTCAATGCGTTCGAGTGACTTGAAAATCCATTCGTTGGGTACAGAATCATAAGCTTTACTGTAGTCTGTCCATGAGAATTTACAGTGGTAAATTTTAGCCTCTTCAAGGATAATTGTCTGCACCAGCAATTGATCCTGACAATCCCAGTATCTTTTTCTGGCTCCTTCCTAATCCATGTTAATAATGTCATTTGTAGCGCAGTATAATGACACAAGATCTGAAAGACACCCTGTAAATATGTTGTATTGTGTATTCAGACAAGTAATAGGGCGGAAGTTTTTGGGATCAGTCAAATCACTGTTTCTTTGGGAGTATTGTGCGACCTTTGCACAACCAAGGCGGAACATCCTGTATATCCACAAGAGAATTTAAACAGTGAAGTAATGGTGTTTGGACACATGGGAACAGTTTCTAATACCGGTTTCGAATACCATCAGGCCCTGGCGCCGTATTAGATTTGGACCTTTTAATTACATTTTTCAGGCAATCAGGTGTAATGAAACACAACAATGGTGACCTTATTCTTTCGTGTACAATGGTTCCTCGAGGTTACAGTTGACGGGTATAGACAAGTTGTGCCAAATCCTTTCACTGGAATCCATGGTGGGTCTTTTCTAATCGTTTCATTGGTTGCATTTAGTTGACTGTAAAATTGTTTTCATTTGATTTGAACAATTTGTTTTGTTTGATGAAATTTTTCTTGTCCTACTTTCTTTTCTCTCTCCTTATACCTTTACCTTTGCCTTTAGTGAATCAAGAATTTGATTTAATATTTTCTCTTTTGTTGTCTTGTATTTTGTTTTTAATATTTTCCAAATTCAGTTTTGGCGTTTAGACATTGATTGCCCCGTGGAACGGAATTTTAAGCAAAGTTATATCTTTCCTTGTTTCATTTAGTTTAATGTAAAACCGGTTTTTCTTTTGATGATTTTGTTTATTACCCTTTTGTGGTTCAATGTCTTTGGAAACTGTATGGAGTTCCTCCAGTGTTCGAGCAGCGGCATAGACGCTAGAGTTAATTTCATACAAAGAACAATCCGCATTGAGAATAACAGAAATAATGTCATTTAAATTATCAAGTTGTTTCTTTGGAAATGATTGGTTAAATTGTTTAATTGGTCTCCGTTTCTCAATCGGTAAATCACAGATTTGATTATAAATTTACATGAACAAAATATACAAGGGATCATCAGAGTGATCATCGACAGAGGAGGGGAAAATCGTCTGTCTGATATGCTTACATTGGCATGGCTATGTCCCAATGTTGCTTCAGTAATTTGCCATTTATGTATGTCCTGACATTACCCCAGTGATCATCTACAGTCAGTGGAATAGGGTGTTGGTATCATTTCCCATGCTATTGCGTTTTCCAATGACGGCATCCTTCCCCAGGGTAAATTAACTACACGAAGTCTTGCATGCGGAAACATAGTTAGAAGTTTATATCCGCTTCGTTGCCAGATTGGCCATTTTGTAACAAATCAAGCACTTAAGTTGATTGAAACGCCATTGCCTTCCTCACGTCTAATACTAATCACCCTCGTTTATCCACCGAAACATATTCCATTGTGGCGTAAGAGGCAAAGGTAGGGTGATTGATATGTATATGTCATCAGTGATGGCACCAGGTGTTTGCGAAAAGGGTAACCATGTCGTGTCCCACCGGTAGCACCCGCCACTCACTCACACCCACCACTCACTCACACCATGTTCACAACGCATTAAAAAAAATCGTGGATTCAAAACGAACCCATGGTACGGTTCCGAATGTATCACGATGAGGTGAGGTGAGGTGAAATGGGGTTTAACGTCGCGCCCAAGATTATTGCACTTATATAGCGACGTGCATGTACGTGTGTGTGTGTTTGTGTGGCTGCTTGAACTAGTCCGGACTGATGCCAATTTATAGTGCTAGCTCACTGAGATACAATGCCGCAGTTTAACATGAATGCCCCACTCAAACACAGTATACTGACTCCGAGCCGACCAGTCGTTGTTTTAGCCCCTTAATGCCGAGCGCCAGACAGGGTTACAACAAGTGCCATATTTAACGTCTTTTGGTATGACGCGGCCGGAGGTCGAACCCCGGACCTTCCGCTCTCTGGGCGGACGCACTACCACTGGACCACGGAGGCGGTCGTATCACGATGAGCATGTGTTTTTGAACCACTATATTTTATAGTGATGATACCATCTTGACCCACACTCGGCATCCATCACCCGTCACAAACTTAGCATGCTACAGATCCGTTGCTTACAACCCAGGTGGTTTGAATGTTTCACTTTGGACAACCTGTGACGGATGTTACAGTTTTCAAAAGTTTCAAAACCATGCATTCAAAAGTATTAAATATGAATTGGGTAAAATGTAATCGCATTACACTACGTTCCTGTACGTAGTCCCTGCAATATTGGAACCTAATCGTTCCATACTTCCTGCATATTACATTCTTCACGTTCATGCGTAATTCATTCATTGTCCCTTCACAGTCTCTGTATAATCAATACAGAATCTCTGCATAGCCCTAAATAGTCTATTTAAATACCCTGTGCGGTCACTTTATATATTTAGTTCCTGGTTAGCTCCTGTATAAGTCCTTCATTGTCTTCTTAAAGTCCCTCCAAAGCCTGTGGATAGTTATGGATAATCTTTGTACGGACTCAGAATGGACACGTTTAGTTTCTTGTAAAG